AATGAAAACAAATGTAAATAATTATAAAACAACAAATCAGAAGCCAAATTCAAAAAAGTCAGTATTAAATATTGGAAAATAACAATTCAAAATCAAGGGAAAATAAAGCTAGAGATTAGAAAGAAAACAATCCACAATTAAATGAAAACAAATGTAAATAATTATAAAACAACAAATCAGAAGCCAAATTCAAAAAGTCAGTATTAAATATTGAAAATAAAAATTCAAAATCAAGGGAAAAAATCAATGAAAACAAATATAAAAATTAAAAAATCAGACCAAATTCAAAAAGTCAGTATTAAATATTGGAAAATAAAACAAATCACAAAATTAAATTGAAAACAAAATTGTGAAAACAAATGTAAAAAATTATAAAACAACAAATCAGAAGCCAAATTCAAAAAGTCAGTATTAAATATTGGAAAAACAATTCAAAATCAAGGAAAATAAAGAGAGATTAGAAAAAAACAACACGCAATTAAATGAAAACAAATGTAAATAATTATAAAACAACAAATCAGAAGCCAAATTCAAAAAAGTCAGTATTAAATAAAAAAACAATTCAAAATCAAGGAAAAAAAATTAGAAAGAAAACAATAGACAATTAAATGAAAACAAACAACATTATAAAAATTAAATGAAAACAAATGTAAATAATTCAAGGGAAAACAACAAAGATTAGAAAGAAACAAATTCAAAAGAAGTAAATAATTTAAATAGAAGCCAAATTCAAAAAAATAAAATTCAAAATCAAAAATTCAAGGGAAAATAAAGCTAGATTGGAAAGAAAAACAAAACACAAACAAAAAAATGTAAAAAACAAATGTAAATAATTATAAAACAAAAATAAAAAATAAAAACAAGGCAAAAAAAAAGTAAAAGAATTAAATATTGAAAAATAAAAATTCAAAAATCAAGGCAAAGCTAGAGATTAGAAAAGAAAAAATCAAAGAATTAAATGAAAAAACAAATGTAAATAATAATAAAACAACAAATCAGAAGCCAAATTCAAAAAAGTCAGTATTAAATATTGAAAATAACAATTCAAAATCAAGGGAAAATAAAGCTAGAGATTAGAAAGAAACAATCCACAATTAAATGAAAACAAATGTAAATAATTATAAAACAACAAATCAGAAGCCAAATCAAAAAAAGGTATTAAATATTGAAAATAACAATTCAGAAAAGAAGGGAAAATAAATGAAAAGAGATAAAAAGAAAAGAAAACAATCCACAATTAAAATGAAAAACAAATGTAAATAAAATTAGAAAAACAACAAATCAGAAGCCAAATTCAAAAAAGAAACCAAATTAAATATTGGAAAATAATTCAAAATCAAGGAAAATAAAGCTAGAGATTAGAAAGAAACAAAACACAATTAAATGAAAACAAATGTAAATAATTAAAAACAACAAATCAGAAGCCAAATTAAAAAAAGTCAGTATTAAATATTGGAAAATAACAATGAAAAAAATCAAGGAAAATAAAGCTAGAGGAAAAAGAAACAATCCACAATTAAATGAAAAGAAATGTAAATAATTATAAAACAACAACAAATCAGAAGCCAAAAAAAAAAAAAGTCAGTATTAAATATTGGAAAATAAAAATTCAAAATCAAGGGAAAATAAAGCTAGAGATTAGAAAGAAAACAATCCACAATTAAATGAAAACAAATGTAAAAATTATAAAACAACAAATCAAAACAAATTCAAAAAAGTATTAAAAGGAAAATAAACAAAAGGAAAATAAAGCTAGAAGGGGAAAGAAAAATGAAAAAAAGAAAACAAAGTAAATAAATAAAACAACAAAAGAAGCCAAATTCAAAAGTCAGTATTAAATATTGAAAATAAAATTCAAAATCAAGGCAAAATAAAAAGAAAGAAATGAAACAATCCACAATTAAAATGAAAACAAATGTAAATAATTATAAAAAACAACAAATCAGAAGCCAAATTCAAAAAGTCAGTATTAAATATTGAAAATAACAATTCAAAATCAAGGCAAAATAAAGAAAGAGATTAGAAAAGAAACAAACACAATTAAATGAAAAACAAATGTAAATAATTATAAAACAACAAATCAGAAGCCAAATTCAAAAGTCAGTATTAAATATTGGAAAATAACAATTCAAAATCAAGAAAAAATAAAGCTAGAGATTAGAAAAAAACAAACCACAATTAAATGAAAACAAATGTAAATAATTATAAAAAAACAAATCAGAAGCCAAAAAAAAGTCAGTATTAAATATTGGAAAATAAAAATTCAAAATCAAGGAAAATAAAGCAAGAGATTAGAAAGAAACAACCACAATTAAATGAAAACAAATGTAAATAATTATAAAACAACAAAATCAGAAGCCAAATTAAAAAAAGTCAGTATTAAATATTGGAAACAATTTCAAAATCAAGGAAAATAAAGCTAGAGAGGAGAAAGAAACAATCCACAATTAAATGAAAACAAATGAAAAAAATTATAAAACAACAAATCAGAAGCCAAATTCAAAAAGTCAGTATTAAATATTGGAAAATAACAATTCAAAATCAAGAAAAATAAAGCTAGAGATTAGAAAAACAATCCACAGGAAAATGAAAACAAATGTAAATAATTATAAAACAACAAATCAGAAGCCAAATTCAAAAAAAGTATTAAATATTGGAAAATAATTCAAAATCAAGGGAAAATAAAGCAGAATTAGAAAGAAACAACAGGCAATTAAATGAAAAAAAGAAATAATTATAAAACAACAAAAAGAAGCCAAATTCAAAAAAGTCAGTATTAAATATTGGAAAATTCAAAATGAAAAATAAATAGAAAAGAAAGAAACAATCCACAATTAAATGAAACAAATGAAAAATAATTAAAAAACAACAAATCAAGAAGCCAAAAAAAAGTCAGTATTAAATATTGGAAAATAATAATTCAAAATCAAGGCAAAATAAAGCTAGAGATTAGAAAGAAACAATCCACAATTAAATGAAAACAAATGTAAAAATTATAAAACAACAAAAGAAGCCAAATTCAAAAGTCAGTATTAAAATTGGAAAAATAATGAATTCAAAAGGTAAAAAAAGGGAAAATAAGGAGGAGATTAGAAAGAAACAATAAACGCAATTAAATGAAAACAAATACAAAAATAATTAAAAAACAACAAAACCAGAAGCCAAAAAAAAGTCAGAAAAATTAAAATTGGAAAATAAAAATTTAAAAAAATCAAAAGGCAAAAAATAAAGGGAAAATAAAATTGGGGCAGAGATTAGAAAGAAACAATCCACAATTAAATGAAAACAAATGTAAATAATTATAAAACAACAAATCAGAAGCCAAAGAAAAAAGAGGTATTAAATAAGAGAAAATAACAATAAAAAATCAAGGGAAAATAAAAGCCAGAGATTAGAAAGAAACAACACACAATTAAATGAAAACAAATGTAAAAAAAATTAAAAAAAGAAGCCAAAGAAAAAGTCAATATTAAATATTGGAAAATAACAATTCAAAATGAAAAAAAACCAAAATTAGAAAAAACAGACAATTAAATGAAAAAAAGTAAATAATTATAAAACAACAAATCAGAAGCCAAATTCAAAAAAAAAGAGTATTAAATAAGAAAATAACAATTCAAAATCAAGGAAAAAAAAGGGAGATTAAAAGAAAAATCCACAATTAAAGAAAAGAAATGTAAATAATTATAAACAACAAATCAGAAGCCAAAATCAAAAAAAGTCAGTATTAAATATTGAAAAATAACAATTCAAAATCAAGGGAAAATAAATAGAAAAAAAATGAAAAAATCCACAATTAAATGAAAAAACAAAAAATAAATAAAACAACAAATCAGAAGCCAAATCAAAAAGGGGTAAGTATTAAATATTGGAAAATAACAATTCAAAATCAAGGCAAAATAAAGAAGAGATTAGAAAGGGAACACGGGAGGAAAACAAAAAACAAATAAAAAAAGAGAACCAAAAAAAAGTCAGTATTAAAGCGGGAAAAAAATAAAAATCAAAATCAGAGATTAAAAGAAGAGAAATTAGGAAAAGAAACAAGGGAGAAAATGAATTAAATGAAAACAAGGTAAAAGAAGATAAAAGGAACAAAATCAAGGCAAAATAAAGCCAAATGAAAAAAAAGGAGGATTAAATAAGAAAAAATGAAAAAGAAAAGTCAAGGGAAAAGAAAATTCAAAAAAAAGAAAAGGAGAAAAGAAAATCCAGGATTAAATGAAAACAAAAAAAAAATTATAAAAGAACAAAAAGAAAGAAAGAAAAAAAGGGAGGAAATGAAAAAAATAATGAAAAGGAAAAAATGAGGAAGAAAACAAACAATTAAATGAAAACAAATGTAAATGAAAAAAACAACAAAAAGAAGCCAAATTCAAAAAAGTGGGAGGAAAATTGAAAAAACAAATCCAAAATCAGGTAAAAAAATAAAGAGAAAGAGGAGAAAGAGGGAATCGGGAATTAAATGAAAACAAATGAAAAAAGAGAGGTAAAACAACAAAGAGAAGCCAAATTCAAAAAAGGTATTAAATATTGAAAATAACAAATCAAAAAAGGCAAAAGAAAAAGAGAGATTAGAAAGAAAAACACACAATTAAATGAAAACAAATGAAAGAATTAAAAAACAACAAATCAGAAGCCAAATTCAAAAAGTCAGTATTAAAATTGGAAAAAACAATTGAAAATCAATTAAACAAAAAAAAAAAAATAAAGAGAGGATTAGGAAACAATCCAGGGAGGAAAATGAAAACAAATGAAAAGAATTATAAAACAACAAATCAGAAGCCAAATTCAAAAAAAGTATTAAATATTGGAAAATAAAATTCAAAATGAAAAAGAAAAGAAAGTAAAAGAAGAGAAAGAGGAGGAGTAGGGGAAGTAGGAGGAAAATGAAAACAAATGAAAAGAGAGATAAAAAAACAAAGAGAGATTCAGGGAAAGGGATTAAAAGGGAAAAAAAAATGAGGTAAAAAACAAAGGAAAATAAAAAAGAGAAAAGAAAATTAAATGAAAAAGAAATAAAAAAGAGAAAGAGGGAGTAAGGGAAGGAGAGGAAAATTGGAAAAAACAAATGAAAACAGACGTAAAAGAAGAGAAAGAGGAGGAGTAGGGGAAGCGGGAGGAAAATGAAAACAAATGAAAAGAGAAGTAAAAGAAGAGAAAGAGGAGGAGGTAGAAGGAGGAAAATGAATTAAAAATGTAAAAGAGAAGTAAAAGAAGAGAGAAAGAGGAGGGTCAAAAGGGAAGGAGGAAATGAAAAAACAGAGAAAAGAAAAGAAGAAAAGAAGAGAAAGAAATGAAAAAACAAGGAGGGGAAAGGGGAGAAAGAGGAGGAAAGTGGGGGAAAATGAAAACAAATGAAAAGAGAGGTAAAAGAAGAGAAAGAGGAGGAGTAAGGGAAGCGGGAGGAAAATGAAAACAAATGAAAAGAGAGGTAAAAGAAGAGAAAGAGGAGGAGTAGGGAAGCGGGAGGAAAATGAAAACAAATGAAAAGAGGTAAAAGAAGAGAAAGAAGAAGCAAAAATAATCACAAACAAAACAGAATAGAAAATTATGATAAAAAATAATAAAGTTATATCCCAAATTTTAAGGCTCCCTAAAAATGATCTGAACCAGAACACTGAGAAAGCCAAAGAAAGAAAGAACCTTTTGGAACCTGAGTTTAACTGAAGACAATGAGAATATCGATTCAGGAAATTTTGATTTATCGAGATTTCAATAGGAAAACTGTCGTTATCATTTAATGAAGAAAACCAACAAGACCGATATATATATATATATATATATATATATATATATATATATATATATATATATCGGTCTTGTTGGTTTTCTTTTATCTTTGGTTGGACTCAACTTGAGTCCGCCATATTCTAGTAGTGGACCTCATCTAGCAGGAATAAACGCAAGTGTTCCTAATTTAACAACATGTAAATCCACCAGTCCGGTACATTATCACAGTATAGGGAACAGATACGGATAGTCTTTTTAGAGAGTACGAAGGAAAGAGAAAAATGAGAAAGAGAGAATGAGAGAGAAAGAGACAAAGAGAGAAAAAGATAGATAGAAAGAGAGAGATAGAGAGAGAGAGGGGGGGAGAGAGAATTCGAATCTCTAATGATGTATTGGAATTATCATGTCGACAGTAATTCTAAAAACAGCCAGAATATGGAGGAGAGTGTTCGGGTATTATTCAATGAAAGCAGATAGTAGGAGCTTGCCAGGAAACTGAGAATACTTAAGAGTATCAGGTTCACGGTACTGCCTATAATAATCGGAGCAAACTAAAGTTATTAGAATTGAAACTGTTTGAAATGCGTATTTGTGAAAGTTCAGACCAGGCGGTGTTAAGGTCTACAAAGATGATGATGAACGTCCAGGAAAGTCTTCTTGTCACTCACTTTGTAACGATAACTACCAGGTATCTGATATGAACATTCAAATGAATGTATCAAATAGTAGTATTGGTGGTGGTAGTAGTAGTGGTAGTAGTAGTGGTGGTGGTAGTGGTAGTAGTAGTGGTGATGGTAGTGGTAGTAGTAGTGGTGGTGGTAGTGGTAGTAGTGGTAATAGTAGTGGTGATGGTAGTGGTAGTAGTAGTGGTGATGGTAGTGGTAGTAGTAGTGGTGGTGGTAGTAATGGTAGTGGTAGTAGTAGTGGTGGTGGTAGTGGTATTGCTAGTAGTAGTGGTGGTGGTAGTGGTAGTAGTAGTGGTAGTGGTAGTGGTAGTAGTAGTGGTGATGGTAGTAGTAGTGGTGGTGGTAGTGGTAGTGGTAGTAGTAGTGGTGATGGTAGTAGTAGTGGTGGTGGTAGTGGTAGTTGTAGTGGTAGCAAAGGAAATACTAGAAAAATATTAGGACACCACACGAAAACTGAAGAAAATGTGGAATATAAAATTTATAGTCATTCCCATAATAACTGGAACACTTGGAATCGTGCCAGAAAATACCATTTTTGACCGTTGTTTTTTACGGCTTATCAACCCCTTGTGTGTAATTTAATGCCGAAACATATTTTGAATTGTAAGAATAATTCTTTTTTACGGGTGAATATTGTATTTACAATTTTAAAAAATAATATTGCTTTTTCCAACTACAAGTTCTCTTTTTTAATCCATACATGAGGGGAGGGGGGGTCATACCTTTCCCAATTGTATTTACACTTAAGTGAATGCAGCGAATTCAACTGAAATTCGAACTCAATACTCCGATTCTCATTCTACTCCGCTATCCATTACCCCACCAGCACATTCTCAGATAATACTAGAAGTCAAACTTGAGAAATTGGAAATTTGAAAACACCGCCAATATTTAAATCTGCGAGGAAAAAAAAATTAAAAAAAATTCTGATTTCATTGTCTGTTTGAATTTCATTTCGATTTTGACGTCAATCTTTATTTTGGAGTTTGAAATGAAATGAAATAAATTTTGATTTGTAGAGTTTACTTCTCTCTGTGCCGAAATCTGTTGGATTTGTGGCCAGATTATCCTTTCTTCCTTAGGTGTCGTGCCTGATGCGTTTTTGGGCGATCATGTCTCTTCTCAATTCATAATTAACTTGACAGAGGAATTCCCGCAGGAGGCTGCCATTACTTTCTGCGGTAGACCTGTTGTTAACCAAGGCTATAGGAACCAGTCTGTCTTGCTATTTAACCCATATCTAGAGAAGATAGATGGATTCATAACTTTCCCAAGGGTATGTACACATAAGTGAATGTAATGAACTCGACTGGAATTTGAAATTGGTTTTCCGATTCCTCATCCCAGCATATTATCCATCACACCACACACACACACACATCTGAAATTCTACTTTACTCAAAGCTATACGTAAGTGATAACATGAGACAAGACAGAACAGAATCCCATCCAGCCCCATCAAGTGTCAATCGAATAGGAAATGTGTAATTTATTTCAAAAAGATATGTCTACGAGAATGAGAAACAATAGAAACTGTTGTAACTTAGGGAAGATTACTGAATAAATAATCACACGAAGGTTGTTAGTGAACGATAATACTTAGGACAAGAACAACACACATAAGATTTGCCAGCGGCGCGTAGAAGTAATCAACTGCTAGAAGTGAGTCAAGTGAATTTGACAATGAATCCCCAACTGCTGGATATCTACCAACCGCCCCACGCGGTCAGATGGAGCACAAAGCCGAATTTAATGTGGAGTATCCGAGCCCGTAGGCTTGGCCAAAAATTCCCGGTAGACCCCGTATATTTCCTCGTCTGGGGATCCTTTCTGCACGGAGGCTGAGAGTTTGACCAGCACAGCTGGAGGCGAATCTCCAACTGCAGGATATCTACCAACCGAACCCACGCGGTCAGATGTGACACAAGGCCGAATTTAATGTGGAGCCCGTAGGCTTGGCCAAAAATTCTCAATAGACCTCGTATAAAACGTAGTCGGGTAACTGTTTCTCGGGAAGATACTCTGTTCTTCGAAACAGCCTTGTCTGGGGATCCTCTCTGCCCGGAGACAGAGAGTTTGACCAGCACAGCTAGAGACAAATCACCAACTGCATGATATCTGCCAACCGCCCCACGCGGTCAGATGTGGCACAAGGCTGAATTTAATGTAGGGGTCCCGAGCCCATAGGCTCGGCCAAAAATTCGCCGAAGACCCTGCATAAAACGGTGTCGGGTAGCTGTTTCCCGAGACGAGAGTCTGCCCCTTGACATAGCCTCGTCTGGAGATCCTCTCTGCCCGGAGGCAAAGAGTTCGACCCACACAGCTGGAGACGAATCTCCAACTGCAGACCAACATACAGTATTTACTACTGTATTTATGTAAATGTTGACATACCCATTATCATCCGTAGGTATGCTAGAACAGAAACAAAGAATTTTGGGAAGTAATAAAAACGAAGTGCAAGCAATGTTAAAGCTAAAATGGTCGAAGAATTAACAAAATCAATGGTTGAAAGGATGCTGAAGCATGTAGAATGTAAATGGTTCCATTTAAACCTATAAAATTATGTTGTGTTTAGTTTGTTTGCATCCTAATAATTGGCATCACCAAAATAAATTATCATTTTCATTTTATTAACGATAAATATTGCAATCTGAAATTTATGTAATATATTTATCCTGTCAATTTAACCAAAATTGATCGGTTAATATCAATTTTATTGTGAAAATATTGACGTGGATATTAAAATTGGGCAGAATACATGCAACAGTAACGACTGATATTTTCTCTTCCACTATTGTATTTCAGTTTCTTCTTTCTTTTTTTCCTCTCCCTTTTATTATGAGTGATACCAATAATAACCATTTATCTCTATTTCTCCAAGAGATTATGTTGAAAACCAGGTATTTAAGTTGTTTTTTTTATTATTTATTTTCAGATTTGAATAGGTTGTTCGTGCCCAGACAAAGGACATTAATCTGTATATTTTATATTTGTCTTTATGACAAGGAAATGCGTCGTCATATAGAAATAACGAAATAGACGATTGAAAGGCAACGTGTGATCTTTCAAGCGTTGAATATACCAAAACAAATTCAGTTATTTTTAGCAATGAATAAGTTTTGATATTGGAGATGTGTGTGTCTGCATATGTGCATGTCTGTCCTCCAGAGACGAACAGACATATATATATATATATATATATATATATATATATATACATAGATAGATAGATAGATAGATAGATAGATAGATCATATAAATATATATATATGTGTGTGGGGAGAGAAAGAGAGAGCGAAACAATTTGGATAACCGATATTTAGAAAAATAAACTAAAGATAAACCTAAGGGCGTAGGCGATCATGACTCTCCCCTATTTCCTATTATTCGTGGCTGTAAGCATTTTTTCTCTTCTTACTACCCATCCCACTCCATTTAGGTAGTTAATAAAATATTTAAAAAAAGTCGTTACCCCCAAAATGCAAGAACACACACATACACAAACATAAGCCCCCCCACACACACACACACACTCAACGGGTAATTTTACCAGCGGACGTTAAACCAATGTACTCGGTTACCCAAACTGTTCGTTGAATAACATTATTGATTGAGGTTTTTAGGGAGTTGGTGGCGGTGAACCTTTTGCGGGTGATTTTAAGCCAGAAAATAATTTTAGATTATAAGAATTTTTTTGAGATAATAATGATTTACTGATACAGGTCTTACTAATTAACCCATAGATGGGGTAGAAGAGGTGGTTTTATACCTTTCCCAAGAACTCCGCTTTTTGATTATCAATTCCAATCCGTTATTTATTACACCACCCATACATCTAAGCTTACAACACATGTTATTACCATCTATAAACTTTTCTAACTTCGGTGATCGTACGGGGACTATTGTTTAAACGTGATATGGCCATAAGACACTTGAATAAAAAATGATTTTAAGACTCTTTTTGATATATAACTTTATTTAACATCATATTTACAGTTTCATTCCAATAGTTTCTGCCATTTTTCAGGCAGCATCATCATTCCATCCTCGTAAACCTTATTTTTCTCAGCATAATAATAATCCGAGGTCTCTTTTGAAGTATGAAAGGGAATTGAAATTATTTTCCCTAAAGACTAAAGTTAATCCAATGGTGAATCAAGCGAGTGAGTGAAAAATCCACAACCAGTCTAACATTATTCACTTGATTACGGTACAGATGCACATTTCTCGTCAATGGCTGTCTTCAGCTGGTCCTAATGGTATTCTTTCGAATGAGTCGGTTGATTCTCTTGAAATAACTCAGGATAGAACTATCTTACAGTTCCATGCAGACAGAATTAGTTTCTTTGAATGAAGACTGGCCTTCTTTTTTGTTCCTGGTTATATATTTCTTGCCTTCTCCGCTGTTGAAAAGTATCCAAAACACAAATTTAAATGCAGTGCAGCATGGGGAAGCCACACATCAAAGCGACTAACATAATGAAGCTGGTGCAAATGATTTTCATACTTTCTAGACGTGCTGGCTAACTCCAGCATCATAAAAAGTTGAATATTCTCAAGTAACATCTTCATTTGATCTCTGTTAACCTTGAAGAGTTTATCATTCAGCGAGAAATCTCGCATGTCAGTCTTTACAAACAATTTTTTATACATTTAATCATTCACTTTACTTTCTTCATATAATGCACATTCTGTTTATGTGTATGAGTTGTAGTTTTACATTTTTTTTTTCATCATTTCATCCCAAGCAAAGGAAATAAAGCCACAAAGACGCAAGAGGTTACTGAGTGTTAGAAAATATGAAAAAAAACAAAAACTTCTATTAAGGAGGGAGAGAGGACAATAAAAGAACAAGAATTAAGAAGACAGAAGATAACATTGCACTTAATTTTTTGAAGATCAAAGTAAACTTGGAAGTAAGAAGACTGAAGAGAGTTTTACAAGCGAGAAGTGCGAGAGAACAAACTGTTAGCAAGGAAATGACGGTTAAATCTAGCCATTTCAACTGTAAAATGATGAGACCTAGCTACCAATCTAGTACTGCGCTTAAATTCATAAAGTCGAGGTACCATGGAGAAAGGTTCATCAAAATAATTATCATGAAGATATTTATAGAAAATACACAGGGAAGCTACGTTATACCGGTGGAAAAGTGACTGAAGCCGAGATGTCAGGTCAAGACCAATAACATTGCAGATTCTTCTTTAGATTTTATCAAGAATCTCTAAATGTATATCAGGAACACCAGACGAGATGTGGCAGCAATATCCAAAGCAAAGACGAATCTTAAAATAAAAAGCACAAAATTCTTGAAATGTTTCTTATTTTCTTTCGTATTCAGACTTTTTATTACTAGAATCCACCCATTGCAGGGCTCGAGAGCGTCTCGAGGTAGAGGCTTAATATTAAAGCAATAATGATGAATGACGTGTGTAATATAAGTAAAAAAAGAGGTGGTAAAAAGCGAAGATTATAAGGATAAGGCAATTAGATAGCGGTTGGCCCTTGCCTTTAAGAGGGTAAGATTGTAGTGTTCAGAGAATCACCTACTTAGGGACTCTGTGTCACAAAGTAGAAATTCTTGGAGGGGAAAAAACCTGTCTGAGTGGAACGTTCACCTTAACTTTGGAACACAGAGAAAAGGGGGAGGCTTTAGCTGTAAACGTTTGAACTGGTGTAATTAAAGAAAGGAGCGCTTATCTGAACATTTGCCATGGAAATAGCGATAGGGTAGCGTTGCGTCTGTGGAAGAGAGGCGTTAGGGCGGAAAATATCTTCCCTCACAAGATCACAGAAACGATGATGAACCCTACTGGAAAGTGAGGATTGAGCAACTCCAGGCTGGACTATTATCCCTATCTCTATTGTTATTATCAAAACATTTCGGCCTTTGCGGCCTGCGGTCTTCATCAGGGTTCCTGTCGATCCGGGTAACCTTCAAGGAACTTCGAACTGGACACTTTATTTAATCTACGGGATAGACTGGAGTTCATGTCTAGGGATATCTCGTCTAGTACAGCTTAGTTGTTGCACGTCGTGTTCCCACTGAGTCTAAGTCTTCCCTACTCGGTACAGAGATTGAACTCACAATTCCTACCTTACTAAATTCAGGAACCAACATTTTAATCCATTTGTCCCATGAGTCTAGATCTTGGGCCTGAAATCTAATCTGCCTGTTGCTAACACTGATACTTATTTATATGCTAGGCCTCTGAGAAAGCCGTCCAATTCTATGAAAATAATGTAATTAATGATGAATACTTATCCTAGAAATTCAGACAGAAAATAAAATCAGTAGTAGTAATATTATCTCGAAATTTCCTTAGAGGAAGCATTTTCAGCCATTATACATTGTTGACTATGATTTCTTTTATCTTAATTTCAATTGATTTATTTTCTCTAGTAGTATTAGTAATAGTAATATTAGCATTTCAATGAATGAAGCATTGTCAAGCATTATTTATTTTTTTCTAGTATTCCTTTTATTTTTATTTCACTTGCTTTATTTACATTAGTAGAGTTATTAGTAGTAATATTATCCTGACATTTTATTATTAAATGAAACACTGTCAATTAAAATTCATTTTTTGACTAGTATTTCTTCCAGTTTCATTTCTGTTGCTTTTCATTAATCAAACCGGGATTCTCGTCTAAGGCAATAAGGTTATCGTAAATAAAAAAATAATTTCCAGGCGAGACACGACCTGTAATATCTTTATGTGGTTAATGTGGTTAGATTTAATCCTTTGCAACCGTTTGATCTCGTATTACAAACTGTTTAGCAAGAATACACACATAAACACACACAGATAGATAGATAGATAGATAGATAAGAAAGAGAATAACAGATAGATAATGAAGAGAGTGAGATATATATATACATATATATATAGAGAGAGATATGAAAAGAGTGAAATAGATAGATAGATAGATAGATAGATATGAAGAGAGAGAAGTACATAGATAGATAGATAGATAGATAGATAGATAGATAGATAGATATGAACAGAAATAGATGGATGGATATAAAGAGAGTGAAATAGATAGATAGATAGATAGATAGATAGATAGATAGATATGAAGAGAGAGAAGTACATAGATAGATAGATAGATAGATAGATAGATAGATAGATAGATAGATTTGAAAAAGCATAACAGAGAGATAATGAAGAGAGTGAGATAGATAGATAGATAGATATGAAATGTGTGAAATAGATTTGAAGAGACTGAAATATATATACATATATAGAGAGATAGATATGAAAAGAGTGAAATAGATAGATAGATAGATATGAAGGGAGAGAAGTACATAGATAGATAGATAGATAGATAGATAGATAGATAGATAGATAGATAGATAGATAGAAGAGAGTGAAATAGATAGATAGATAGATAGATAAAGCAATTTGGAAAATTCAACTTTGACATGTTTCGCTGATAAATCGGCGTCATCAGAAAACGAACTTGATTTCATATAAAGCCAAATCGACATTAGCGAGATAAAAACGAGACTGATATTAAACAAACATATAAATATTTATCAAATATATAAAAGACACATTCTTTCACAAGGTACTCGAATAAGAATGTAGAAGGTGGATTTAATTATAAAACAGTCCGCTACTTACCTGTCGGCGAAAAGGGACGATATGTTAAAGAACACTCAGCAAATTTGTGAAACCAAGGGCAGTATTGAACTTTTTTGTATATTATGTCTTTCTTATACACTCGTAAGGACACTTCAACTTGGTGTAATGGTTAACAAGCATGTCTCGCTAGATCAATTAAAACTGAATAGTAAGTTCGATTCTCACTGGGTACCACCATGCATTCGTCCCCTTGACACATCAAAGGTACGCTTAGAAAATCACCCAACGTATCATAAAATTTAATCTATTAGTCATAGTAATATCTTAACAACATTAATTAATAAAATAAAGCTATTATACCAATATAACTCAATGGAAGAGGCGCTCTTTTTGTAGATTTTTATTTGGAAACACAAAGAGATTGACAACAATAGTTTGTAATAAAAAAGAAAAATTATATTTACATTATTTGTAAATAGTGTAAACATAATTTTTCTATTTTATGGAGGTGAACAAAAAACTTGGATAATTGAATTACTAAAGAGAATTAACTGAAACTGAGATATCCAGAAAAGGCATGGCATGTGGAACAAGAACAATCTACGCCCATAAACAAAGGCTTCAGTTTGAAATTCTAATGTATATCACCTGAAGAAGGTAGGAGCGTACAACGCCCGAAACGCCGTGAATATGACAATAAAGATGAGGACAATAGTCCGAACAATGTAAACAGTATAAATAATAAGAATAACTTATCTATAGAACATTTATAACAAAATACTGTAATGAATGTTACGTGACGGATAGAAGATTCGTTCTTCCCGTAGATCTTTGCGCACAATTTTGTAAAATGTCCTTATTAAATCGAGATCTTTAAGCTTTTCACTTAAAGAAAGCAGTTAACGTATTCTCATTGGCTCAAATCATTGTTCATGCGCTGTAGGACGATTATTGAGACTTAGAAATAATTTCCTCAGTTGACCGCGGATAACTGAAACCATACAGATATATATCAAGGATATAGCGGCAGCCGCTATATATAAGTATATAGTGAGAACGGCTCAGTCCTATAAATAGTGCTCCTCACTATACGAGGTGCGATGGATAAATTTTCGTCCAAATTACACAAAAATTAGAATAACACTGACATCTCATTTTAACATATATATATATTTACCAAAATGACACAAAAATATCTTGAAATACTAAAGAGTACATTTATTCAATAAAATCGCCATTGGCTTCAACCACGACCTCCAGACGACTTCGGAATCTCATGCAACTCTTCCGGAATTGTCTCCTTGTTGGTGAATGCTGCCATAATCCTTGCCTTCTTTTCATCTTTGGTGTTACAAGGAGTTTTATTAGTCTCTCGCTCAACTGCACCCCACACATAATAATGAAGGGGGTTGCAGTCTGGGGAGTTTGGTGGCCAGATATAAGAGGCGATGTGGTTGCAGAAATTGTCTCACATCCAAGAATGGGTTCTCCTGCTTGTGTGGCATGGTGCAGAGTCCTGTTGATAGACATGGGATCTTCCAGCAGCCATTCACTTAACCCACTGTCGCTTCAAAGCACTTGATGTACGCCTCTGTATTGAGTCTGACGCCCTCTGCGAAGATGAATGGAGGCATAACGTTACCATTACTAGTGATCACTCCAAACACTTTCTTAATCACAATTAGACTCATCCAACTCTTTCCGAATCGTCTGCAATGTCCGAAATATTCGTAATGGAGCTTCCAGCACAAATGTCAAGCGGTACAGTATGCCGTTTCCAAATTTCTGGCGGAGTGAATTGCATCATGGTTCTCTTTTTCTCACAGACGATGCTCAACTCACTCTACTATACTTGTCAGTTGAAAAAATCAAAAACAAAAAATACATGCGCGAAATTAAAAATCGACAAGATCGTGACATTTTACCCATCGCACCCTGTGCTCAATAGCTTAACAGTTTATGTCTTCTCTTCCAGAGAAGAACAGCCAGCTGAGCATGGTTGCATATAAACCACATTATACACAGAAATGAATCTGAACAGGCGTCTGCAACAGGGATTTTCTAGCCATCCTAACACGGTCGGTCATACTATACGAGTGAGAACCATTAAATATATAGTGGGATAGGACTATATATATATATATATATATATATATATATATATATATATATATATATATATTTTTATGTTTATACATTGTTTTTATAGATACAAATATTTAAGCAAATGCTCTGTTTATAATAAACAATATTAATAACATTTACCGGCTTGAATGTCCGAGAAATTTTCATAGAAAATATGCGTCCTCCGACAGGAATCGAACCTGTATGCTATACAGAACCGTCATATAGCCTGACGTGCTCTTAACCGATCGAGCCACGGAGGATCGTTCGATTAGCAAGGTCGATTTTACTGCTTTTTAACTACAATCTTCTATGAATCTCTCACGTACATTCATATCTGCTCAAAGCGTATCCAAATGTAAACAAATGACGTCTTTCATTATGAAATGGACAAAGTTCGACAATTATTTTAAGACATTTTTATGTTTATACATTCTTTTTATAGATACAACTATTTAAGTAAATCCTCTTTTTATAATAAACAGTATTAATAACATTTACCGGCCTGAATACCCGAGAAATTTTCATAGAATATATTCGTCCTCCGGTTAAGGCACGTCAGGCTGTATGACGGTTCGATACAGGTTCGATTCCTGTCGGAGGAAGAATATTTTCTACCAAATACTTATTGAGGGTTATTGTGTATAAGATATAGAGATGAAACACATCTATATTTATAAATAATTAATAGATTTATTTTTTTAATTCTACATTTTTATTAATTCAAACCTCATTTTTAGTGGATATACGTGTTTGGAATAGACGCTCTATGTTCCCTTATTAAAAAAAAATGCGATTCGGTGAGGAGCAAACAGCGCTTAATCAAGCGTGCCTTCGACAGCTCAGACATCAAGAGCATCACAACCAGCAAGATTCTATTTACGCCTTTAAGGAAAGCACATTTCCTTTCTGCTCAGTTTCGCATTTGAAATGTAAACAAACCCTTGATCCTGTGCAACACACACACACACACACACACACACACACACACACACACACACACATATATATATATATATATATATATATATATATATATATATATATGTATGTATGTATGTATAGATATATATTTGCTCATTTCACCCCAAGCAAAGCAATAAAGCCACTAAGACGCAAGGGTTTACTGAGTGTTAGAGAATATGAGAGAAAAAATGTTATTAAGGAGAGAGGACAATAAAAGTAGAAGTATTAAGAAGACAAAACATAATGATTGACATTGCATTTAAATTTTTGAGGATCAAAGTTGACTTGGAAGCAAGAAGCCAGAAGAGAATTCTACTGACTAGAAATCCGATAGAAGAAATTGTTAACCTAGAACTTACGGTTACGTCTACATCAAATATAGAATTGTGAGACCTTGCCGCCAATCCAGTCCTGCACTTAAATTCATGAAGTCTAGGTATCAGAGAGGAAAGTTCACCCGAACACTTAACATGAAAGTAAATGTAGAAAAGGCACCGATAATCTACGTTATGGCGGTGGGAAAGTGACTGAAATCTAGATGACAGATCAGGACATGGCAGATTCTTCTTTGGGTTTTATCAAGAATCTCTAAATGCATAGCAGAAGCACCAGACCAGATGTGGCAGCAATATTCAATGCATGGATGAATGGTAGACTTATAAATATGTGAAGTAGATTCTGGCGGGAAAATTGTTTAGGACAACACAGTGAACCAACTTTCCTAGCAGCAGGCTTAGCAATTGAGCCAATATAAATCTTCCATTTGTCCATACCTAGAATATTTCTGCCACACATGACCCGGTACTCCTGCTCTATATCTAGAGATTCTTGATATAATCCAAAGAAAACCTGGACTAAATGTAAGCTCAGTACTAGACTGGCGATAAGGTCTCACCAATTTACAGTTGAGTTGGTTACATGCAACCGTAAGTTCTATTCTAACAGTTTCTTTTCTCGAACTTCTTGCCTGTGGAATTCTTCTCCGGCTCAGTACGTTCCAGTCAACATTAATCTTTCAAAAATTTGAATGCAAAATCAATCGCTATTTACTGTTCTCCCGATTACTCATCTTTTGTTTTCATGCTTTGTAATATTTCTATCATCTAATTCTCCAACATCCAGTCACACCCTGTATCTTAGTGGCTTTACTACTTTGCTTGGGATAAACTCGATTAAAAAAAAAATCTTGACACGTCTTGTCAGCAGAAAACATTAGTTTTTATATATAAACCGCACGGCCACCAATATATATATATATATATATATATATATATATATATATATATATATATATATATATGTGTGTGTGTGTGTGTGTGTGTGTGTGTGTGTGTGTGTGTGAAGGGTGTTCCAATAACTTGATAACTTGGACCTATTATAAATGTGAATTAAGTGTAAGCGTCTAATGAATTTTCTTCTTTTTCTTTCAGATTTGGCGGACATTTGAGCGATATTATTTTTCACACATAATTGACATGACTTAAATAACATGATCCAATAGAGAAATAAATAAATTTTAACCAATAACACTGATTTATTTACTGTTGACTTTGATCCGTCTTAATGAAACACCCTTATATATAATCTGTCTTAACGAAACACCATTTATTTCACAATCTAATAAGGTGCATGGCTGTATGATTAACGACTGCTAGGGAAAGCATTCTTTGATCAAAAACTGATAAAAGCACTATGACGATAACGTAAGGGAACTTATCATTAGTGGATAAGAGTTCTATTTTCGTTGAA